CTACCTTCCATACCAAAAATGGTAAACGAAGGGACTAATTCAGGGAAATCTTTGAATGAAAAGGGCCTGAAGACTATATTCAGCCTCACTGTTAAATGAATAAAAATAGGAAATGCTACTTTCCACTTAACAGATGACTCAGATTTTAAATGGCCCCAGTATGGAAACGGTGCAATGGGCCAGGCTTCTCATCTGCTCGGGGCAGGGCGTGCCTAGTGCCACCTCCCCGGACAGCATCTGGGTGGTCTCTATAAAGGGATTTTGAAAACACACAGGCTTTAGTCCAGTACTTCCTTTCTCTGAGACCAGCTTAAGAAAAGGTTCAAAGATGGGAACGACAAAAGATTTACATTACAGCATGATCTATAATGGCTGAAAACCAAGGATCACCACAGAATGGAATACTACGGTTGTTTAAAAAATTCTGCTTCTCTTTCCATTCAGGTTAGGAACAAGATACACATGCCCACTTGCACCACCACCTGTAACATCTTACTGGAATTTTCAGTCAATTCAGGGGGAAGACACTAATAGGACTTTCAGAACAAAGACGTGAGGTTATCTTTATGTGCAGATCTAATTAGATACCTGGGACATCCGAAAGAATCAACTGAAAACTACTGGGAACAATAAGATAATTCAGTAAGAAAGCAGGATGTGAAAGCAAGACACAGACATCGACAGCCTTCATATAAATAATTGACTAGAAGGCACAATAGCAACAATAATAGAATATCTAGGCATAAAACTTAAGAACTGTGCAAAACCCACACGATGGATACTTTAAAAACACCCCAAAGGAAATGAAAGCGGCCTTCGCATAGCACACTCCTAGGCCAGAGGATGCAAATATTCTAAAGATGCCAATTCTTCCTGGACATTTAAAAAACGTGATGGGATCCTGATAAAAACACAACCACTTTTTCTGCAATGAAACGAGCCAATTCAAAGTTCCTACTGTTTGTAATAATATCAGTATTATTGTTGTGAATTATTTTAATAGGATATAGCAATAATTATGCCAATGGTGTTCGAAACCAAGATTTTCAGTGTAAAAGAGAGAAAACTGAAGATTCAAGAAACATGTGAAAACATAATGTTAAGGTTCAACTGAAAACGTCAATATGAATGCATAACTAATACGTACATGTACTCATATTCCACTTTCCCACATTGACAGCACCTAAAAGCAACATCAGTCCAATAGCAACAAGCACCCCTAGTGCCCAGATTTTGGTCTCTAAAATAAACACCCACTGAAAGGAATCAGGGCTCTTTGAAAGTGGCCAGTTCCAAGTCTGGGACAAAGAAGGTACAAAATGAGGCTGGGAGAACATCTTAACTGTGCCAGAAATCAAGGAATCAAAAACAAATGTGTCCATGTCAAAAAATACACAGGAGTTGGCCCAAAGAATATCCAGTGGTTAATTTTATGTATCTGTACATCAGAAAGAATAACGATTTTAGTAGGTTGAAGCATACTGAAATCAAATCAGAATACCTAAGTCCATAATGATATTCCAAAAAAAAAAAAAAAAAGAAAACCAGAAAAAAAAATCTTTAGTTTTCACCATTTCAGGGAAAGTGTAACTAAAAGGCAGAGCATTAAGCCCATCCTGACTTTCAGTAGGAGCTACAGGTCAAGACAACCAAATATCTCCAGCTGGTGAGAAACAGCTCTGCTGTTGGAAGAATGCCAGATTAAATGTTAACCCTCTAGTGACGCTGCTGACTCCAGCAAGGGTCGTCACGTGGTGTGCACGCACAGCGCTGGTGGGGAACAGACCAGCAGGATGCCACAACGTACCCTGCAGATCACCACCAGTACTTCTGGACAGCACGGTTGCAGGGGGAAGTGTCATAGTCCGACAGAGAGATCCATCCATCATCACCCTAACACACTGCAGAGTCTGGCATCGCTTATGACAGTACCCAGACCGAATGAATGTCCCGCCCTAACTAATATCTCCTGGGTCATACAGCACCACGTCTGATGTATCCCATCCAAAAAATAGTTTCTATTTGCCGGAACTACAGGGAATAAGCGGGATATTTTATAAGATAACCGGCCCGACTAATTTAACAAGTCGTAATAAACTTGTGCTGTAATTTACAACACCCCCAGACTGCTAGTGACCCAGGTATCTGGCAGAAGCAGCAACAATAAATCCCCACAGAAGAAGATACTTTCGTTTTCGGTTTTAACTTCTTTGAAATAGTTGAGTACAATGACCAGCATACACTAGAAAATAGTGAGGTCCTCAAGGAAAGAAGACTTAGCGAACAGACTCCAACAGGATGATAACATCGTCTGACACACAGATTGCAAAGCAGCTGTGTTTACTGCACCCACAGAGATGGCAAGTGTGATTGGTCAGAGGACAGGAAAATATGAAAAAGTCATCTTGCAAATTAAAAATGTAACTTCTGTAAATGAGAAAGGATACCTGAGATTAAAAGCTCAACAAAGGGAGTTCAGCACATACCAGACAGACCTGTAGATTCTCAGCAAGATAACAGAGGTTAAGCATGGTGTTTAGAGATTCTGATAGCAATTCAGCAAGGTAATTTTATGTCTGTTATAACACCACAAAAAGGCTGCATTTTATATTTCATTTGTACAGTTATTAATTTTTACTATATTTTATGAAGGGTTGAAAATTAAGAAAAAACTGATCCTCTATTAGACATAATGTGAGACCCTCTCATTGAGAATATTGCATGGGAAGTCATAAAAAGTTTGAAAAATACAGGTGAGGCTTAAAAAGACAGACAGTAAGTGAAAAAGTCCAACACATGTTTGTTCAAAGCCAAAGAAAAAAGAGAGACGGACGTAGAAGACATAATGGCTGGGAACTCTCCAGCCCTGAGGAAGTATAATAATCTATGGATGCACAACGAATCCCCAAAAAGACCGATAATATAGAAACCCATGTTTGGACACCCAGCAGTGGAACGACTGAAAATCAATGTTACAGACAAAAATCAGAAAAGTGGCCAGAATCACAATCCCTTCAGAGATTGACTTTGGTTTCTCAATCCAAAGGAAGCCAAAGGTGAGGAAATGCTTATCTCCGTTGTTCAGAAGGAAGATAACTCCACTTGCAATTCAATCCTCAGGGAACATCTTTCAAGAATGAGGGCGGAATAAAGATATTTTCTAGATAAATAAACAAAGAATTTGCCATCACCAGACTCTCATTAAAGAAAATTCTACATGACGTATTCAAACAGAAGGAAAGTGATCCCAGGAGGAAAGTCGGAGATGCAGGCAGGGATGAAGAATAAAGTGACAAATAAGTGGATGAACCCAAATCACCGACAGAATACAACAATAATACTGGTGCGGAGGAGTTTTAAGGGCTGAAAGAAAAATTCAAAGATCCAACAGTGGAGGGTCTCAGAAGATAGCAATAGTAGCCCTGCTTTTTTTTTTTTTTTAATTACTGGACTTTAAGGCTTACAGAAAAATTGAATGTGAAGTATAGAGTTTTTTTTTTTTTAAGATTTTATTTATTTATTCATGAGAGAGAGAGAGAGAGGCAGAGGGAGAAGCAGGCTCCCAAGGAGCAGGGAGCCTAATGAGGGACTCGAGCCCAGGACCCTGGGATCATGACCCAAGCTGAAGGCAGACGCTTAACCATCTGACCCACCCAGTACAGAGTTTCCATGTTACCGGCCACCTGTTTCCCATTATTAACATTTTGCATCCGTGTGGGTGCATTTGTTACAACTGATAGCCAATCCTGACCCATCATTATTAACTAAATACCATAGTGTCCAAGAGGGTTTGTTCTTCCTGTTGTATACTCTACAAGTTTTAACAAATGCAGAATTCCATGTATTCACTATCCTGGCATCGTAGAGAATAGGCCCACTGTCTTGAAAATCTCCTGTGCTCCCTCTATTCATCCCTCCCCAGGATAAGTTAGCATGTGTATTATCTACGAGGATGAAGCCAAACCAAAGATAAGCCAGATTCACGCTCTGTAAGCTGCAGGGACAGCCTGGGTTCTGAGGAAGTGAGGGGCAGGAAGTGCATCTGTGAATCCCTAAATTGCTCCTTCCCTCCAACCCTCCTTCCTCTGTCCTTCCCTTCACCCCTCCCCTTGCCTGGCAGGTCTGCACTGGGCCCTTGCTATCCGCCCTGCAGTGTGGAAGGCACTGGAACACGCCTGTAAAGATGATGCACCTCCTGCTCCGGGTTCATACATCTTGCAGAAGACCCAGTGTTAAGGACTGGAGATACGAAGGACGTCTGATGTTTCATTTATTACGCTAGTCTTATATTTTAGTAATATACAGGTTTTCAGAGGCTCATGTTTGACTCTGGGGTCCTTACCCTATGTTCCTTGATTTTATGTACCTCAACCTCAACATCTCCTAGGGGAGTACTTTTAGGGATTGAACACCCTCAGATGGAAAGAGGCAACCGTGCCATTTTGGGGGAAATTCAAAGCGAAGGGCACCCTTCCCTGACTAATCTCAAATAGGAAACCCCTGGGCAGTGTAAGCCCCAAATGAGTCATAAGCAGAAAGTCCACAAAGGACTATGGTTACAGTTCTCACTTATCCAATACCAGGGAAGCGAAGAGGCTCTACTGGAGTTTGAAAACGGGGCTCCTTTCTGAATCGCTAGAGCTCAGGTGACAAAGGCAGAGAATTACTTGAAGGAAACAACCAGCTAGCCTGGTTAGGATTCACATGAAGGACTGAAAGTCTCTCTTCTGGCTTTTCTAGTGTGTTATACCTACAACACATTCACGATTACGTTTTTATCTCAAACAGCTCTGGAATTTGAAATATCAGTTGGGTAAATCAGTTAGTGGCATTTAACAACAACAACAAAAAAAACCAGAACCAAACAAACCTCAATAAAGAGACCAGAACAGAAACATAAACACAGCAGGGGCAGAACAAGCTGGCAAACTAGCCAAACGTGACTCCTTCTCCCTAAACGGGCACACTCTGACTTTTAAAAGACAAGTAAGAGAAATTACCTTTTAAAGATGGTAGTTTTTGAAGTTCTCTGTTATTGCTGGCATTAAACCTGGAAGAATTTTGCCGCTTCTCTTTCTTCACTATGGGCTGAGGGACTGGCACTTTTATTTTGCTAGACACTGTCGATGGCGTCGCAGCTAGGCTGTTTTTCCTGCTGGAAATCTGTTTCCAAAATAAAAACAGAAAGAAACACATGTGTACCTCAAACGGTTATATTTTACAGCACAGCTAGAATCTGGAAAGTATACACGCGTCTTGCGCAGGGACAGTCCCCTCCACTCGGCTGTAAACACCATTCCTTAAAGTGGCTGGAGTCTGAGTGACATCCCACCTCCAGTAATGCTGGATTTCCAGGGATTCACAGATATACCTCATTTCTCACATCTTCCTCCCAACTTTTTACTTCTAAACATTTCTCCCATAGGCTGATGTACATACAGGCTGATGACAATGACCCTCCAAAGACATTCACGTCCGAGTCCCTGGAACCTGTGAATATGCTTCCTTACTTGGCCAGAGGGACTCTGGAACGGTGATGACTGTCAGGGTGGGCCCCGTGTAATCACACAGGTCTCGCCAAGAAAAGACGAGGCAACACAGAAGGAGATGACAAAGCGGAGGTGAGATCCTCAGAGAGACTGCAAGAAGCCAGGCTGCTGGCTCAGAAGGCAGAGGAAGGGGCCCCGAGCCAAGAAGCACAGGAGGCCTCTAGAAGCTGGAAGAGGCCCGGAAACGAATTCTCCTCCAGGGCTTCCAGAAAGAACTAGCCATGCGGACATCCTGATTTCGGCCCCATTTCAGACTTCTGACCTCTGCGACTGTAAGACAGTAAGTTTGTGGTCATTTGCAAAACAGCTACAGGGATCTCATGAGCAGACAGCTCATGGCTCCTTTGCCTATACACCACTCAGCCCTCGGTGATCAGCAGGAGTGACAGAAAAGTGCTCGCCCCTTGAGCCTCAGGAAATGCTCTTCTTTCTAGGCACCCCCCCGTGCCGAGTCCATCCCCAGGCTCCAGGTTTAGTGCTCAACTCTGCACTGCACTGCACCACCTGGGTTGTCCGAGGACACATGACCGACTCTCGAGGGGAGAAGGAGCTGTGTAAACACCCAAGCAGAGGTGGGTGGGCATCGAGGGCACATGCAGCAGACACCCGGACAGGCCCATGGGGGCGAGGGTCCCCAGGGAGCTCAGGTGGGCATGGCCCCCAGCGAGTGTCAACTAAGCATCAGCAAGATTTTTTGTGCCAACCGTTCACTCCTCCCACACCTCCAGCCCGCCCAAAGGCATGGAGTTCATATGAGCACATGTGTGCTTTTGAAAAGCCTACCAAGCTCATCCTAGAAACACAAGCCCACCGAGCCTCTTCCAATCGCACTGAGCTAGGAGAGCAGACGCACCAACTTAAGCCCCCAACCACTTGCTCTCCTCCACGAGTGGAATTTTTACTAAGAAGTCAGAGCAGCTTTATTTTGAAGTAAGGTGCTTAGGAATACTTGGGAAGAGTTTTCCAAGAGGCAGGACGCCTGCCTGCAGACGGGACCCTGAACCGGGAGCGAGGGCCTGCGCTCCCCTCCCTCCCCCAGTCAGCAGTTTCTTCCTTGAAAGGGCCTTTATGGATGTTGTCCTGGACACCTGTCATTCTTTCCACCTGATCATGAAAGCTGGGTTTTCTTCCTTAAAAACACTGTCCATACCTCTCCTGTTCTCCAGAATTCCCCAGAACCCGAGTTTTCACTCCCCAGGCAAAAACGTCGCCTCCTAGGCCAAGTACTTGTTTTAAAATGTTAATTGACATACAGGTATCTAGTAAAGCTGACAGGTCCTTTCCGCCTTTCCACCAGCCCCACACACACTGACCCTGAGGACAACGGGGCACCGGCCAGCTCCTGCAACAAAGCTTGGAACACCAGCCCTGGCTGAGGTGGCTAACTCATAAAACAGAATTAACTCCATGCCTATCCACAGCCCATGCGACACACGCTGAGATGAGGCTTCGAATGTCTGACAGAGCAAAAAGTTATCCCTAAGACCTGCTGATTCGGAGCCACCGGCCCTTCTGCGTGGGCCCTGCTGGCCTCCCTCCCCTGGAGCACTGTCCTCGGGGAAGGCAGAGTGAGCTTCTAGAAAGAAGACCTGGTTCCATCACCCAGGCGAACTCACTGTAGCCACTTCCCAGGGCTCTGAGCCCACTGGCTTAACAGTGGTCTACAGAGCCCCATGCTCGGGTCACCAGCTCCTGATCCGGCCAGCCCCGTGCCTCGGCCCCGCTGCCCCACTGCCGACCCCGAGGGCGGCTCCCTGAGGCCTCCGTGCAGCGTGCTCAGCTCCGTGGGCTGGGGCCCGCCCAGGCGGGCTCTGCTAGGAGGTGGCCATCTTGTCTTCCCCCCGATGGGATGTCAGCTCCAGGAGGGCTTGGATGCCACTCTGGCCTGTTCCGCGAGAGCGGGGAACTGCCCCGCACCGGCCAGGTCAGGGAAGCCCCTCTGAGGGCACATGTGTGTGTGCTGGGGGGACAGCATTCAGGCAGGGCCACCGAGAGTGGCGGCTCAGTGCGACCACCCTCACTGCAGACAGGTGGGCAGGCACCGGGGAGCCTGGGGGCCGCAGGTGCCTACAGAGCCCACCAGCCCAGGTCAGAGTCTGACCTTCACCTGACAGGCCACCAGAAGCCATGCAGGGGGCTCTGAGCAGGGTGAGGGTGCGAATCCATCTTCCTGTTCGAAAGGCGCGTTGGGCTGCAGTGTGGACTGTGGACGGGAGGGGAGGCGGCAGACTCGGCTAGTGGTCCAGACTGCACACGGTGGTGGCTGCACCGGACCCAGTGGCCAGCAGGTGCACGGGTGACGTGGAGCGCTGGCGGGGGCACAGGGAACCTGCAGACGGGTAGCGGGCGGCACCAGTCACTGTGATGGGAAGGCGAAAGCGGCCGAGAAGCTGGGAAGTGAGCCCCCTGGGTCCGAGCAAAAGACAGAGTGACGCCCCTCCTCGTTCCCTTCTGCGGACAAGGGCCGGGGTGCTTTCCTTGGTGTCCTTGGCCACCACCTGGCCGCCCTCGGCTGCCTCCTCCGCCCGCCCAGGGGCTGGCAGTGTGGTGTGCGGCTGGCCCTCGGACACCTCGTGCAAGCCGGACGCGAACTTGGAAGTTACCGAATGCGTGAGACCGCCCAGCGGAGGAGCGCAGAGTGCAAGAGGCGGAGGAAGGAGGAGGCCAACCCATCAAGCGGCACTCAAAGCCACAGTCTGCGGACTCGCACTTGGCATCTTGGGGCTGGTAGAGGCTGCTGAGGGCAGGGGGCAGCGGGGAGAGGCCGCTGGGCTGAGGCCAAGGCGGCGAGGCTTCGGGAAGGTGGCCGGGAGAAAGAGCGTCAGGGCAAGCAGCAGCCGCCATAGCACGGACCTCGGACTGTCTGGAAGGCGAGGGGCTTAACTGTGCTGCGAGCTGATGGGGGAGGCCACCGAGGGGAGGCCTGGCTGAGGGACAACTGAGCGAGGAGTGGGATCTGGGTCCCCACGTGCAGTGACAACAGAACAGAGGACGGACAGGACGTCTGTCAGTCTGATGGCCTCTCTGTGTGCACAGACATACGAGGTCACCTGCAAGAAGCACTCTGAAGGGAGGCGAGGCCCGAGGAGGTGAGGATGGCCTGAATAGCAGAGCAAGGCAGGGGCCTGAAGAAACAGAGATGCTCTGAACACATCTTTCTCCTCAGCGCCAAGTACGAGCAGCCAACTGGACCTGTAGCGGTCAGCGCCCAGAGGGAGCACTGCCCACACGGAACTCCCGCTGCATCCCCCCGACAGTCCCTGGGACCCCCCAACCCACTCGCGCCAGCCGCTGACCTGAGCCTGAAGCAGGGCGGGCGCCTGGAGCAGCTCTTACACCAGGACGCCACAAGGCCCTTCCCCGGAGTGCAGGGCGATCTCCTGGGATCGTGCAAGGAGCCATGGAGCCAGACTTGGGACCTTGCTCGGTCCCCGGACTTCAGACACCACCTCCCTTGTGTCCCACATCCAAACAGTTCTACGATATCTTCTAAAATTCTCCCCTTCTGCAATTGTTATGATGAACTACCACCACTATGTGCCAGAGACCACGAGACACAGAGCTTGAGAAGCCTGTACCTGCACGCCTTGTAAGGTCTTTTAAAAGAACATTCACCTGGAGCATACAGTACTGGCATAAAGACAGCCACAGGGATCAATGGAACAGAATTACGAGCCAAGACCACTCAACGGGAGAAGACTCTTCAACAGGTGGTTCCAGGATAACCCTGCGCGTTGGTGGTATAGTGGTGAGCATAGCTGCCTTCCAGGACAACCCTACGGTTGGTGACAGTCAGCCTCAGGGGTATTTATGAGGGCGAGAAAGGTGGTCTGCAAAGAAACCAAGCTGGCTAGGAAACACCAAGGCCACCATGCCGGAGCCGGCCCCTCAGAGCAAAGCTCTCCGCACTCTGGTTTTTCAGGGCTGGAAGCCACAACAGCTAGCTCTCAGCTCAGGCCCGGAAAGCGAGCAGCCAGCCGACGAGCCCACCCGCCTCCAGTGCCCATGGTCCGCTGTGCTGGGGCCTCAGCTCCGGGTATGTGGAACCCGGGGTCCCCTGGTTTCATTTCTTGCCCCTCTACTCCCTACACAGCAGCGGCAGAGATCTTTTTAAATACTTGTCAGATCATCCCCCCTCCCTGCTCAAACCACCTCAGTGGCTTCCCATCACCCTAAGAATAAAAACGCCAAATCCTGCCAAGGGCTGCTGACAAGATCCTACTGGACCTTCCTTGCCTGTGCCCCTCTCTGACTTTATCTCGTCTGCTCTGGCCACCCTTATTTGTCATGAGCCAGACTGGTTTTCTTTCCAGCGGACATACCAGCTCACGGCCACCTTCGGGCCTCTGCCCCAGCTACTTCCTCTGGCTGGAATGCCCTCCTCCCCCAGATCTTGGCACCACGGGCTCCTGCTTCACACCTGCATGTCACCTTTAACACCCTCTCCTTGGCGAGACCACCCAGACCTCTAGAAGCGTGTGGGCAGCTTTGATACCACAGTGACCGGAGGGCGCTCCTGATGCGGACAGCCTCAGGGCCGCTGCTCTGCAGGGTGAGAAACCAGATGCCAACCAGCGCCCCCTTCACCCACCAGCGCCCTCGGCGCCCGCTGAA